TACGTCAGAAAATCCTATACTGGAATCTTAACATTTCTCTATATAGTAATTGATCTTATTTAGTGGTTCTCAAACCCAACTGCATTTTTTTTTTCAACATTTCTTTTTAGTTATACTTGGGTACAATATCTTCATTTTGCTGTGTTGCTGCGAGGATCAAACCCAGTGCCACTGAGTCACAACCCAACTATATTTTTGGAATCCTTTTGTCATAAAACTCTCAGAGCCCCATTCAGACATACTGAAATTAGAATCTCCCTGGATGGGGCACAAGTAAATACCAACTAGCAATGATAATGGCAACTGAGAAAACTGGATTTTACCTGTTAAAAAGAAGTTTGCATGACACCAAGTACTTTTTTTTAAAAGTTCAAATATAACATACAAAAGCATATTTTTCTATACAACATTAAGCATACCAAATGTGATAGTGCCTCTTATTTTTACAGCTTGATTTACAAAGGCTCTATTTGCCTTTATCATCTTCATTGATATTTTTCTTTATTCAATCCCCAACAACCGGCAATTGAACCCAGGGCCTCACACATGCTGGGTAAAAGTGCTCCTCCACTGAGTTATACCCCCAGCCTGACAAATCTCCTAAGTGTTCAACAAAATGCTGAGGAAGGCTTCCTATTGTGTCTACTTTGCAACAACTGGTCCCATCCGTTATTCCCTCCTCTCACTGTCTTCCATTTTTGAATGTGACAAGGAGGGATGCATATTTGAATACCAACAAAGCTTTTAAAAACAGATGACAAACACCCACTTTAGATTTTTCAAGTCCCACAGTGGGCCCTGGCATGTATATCTTCCTATACATAACGTGAAATACCATGTGGAGCAGGTGCTCAATAAAAAGGTGTCCAAGGAATACGAGATAAATTATGTCCTAAATATTAAAACAGAATTTGAGCATTTTAACATTTAAAATACAGTGAGCTGCATTTAGCTATTATGTAAATTATAGTATCCTAGCTTTTTAAAATTTTTTTTAAATCATGCAGAGAGTAGAAACAAAAAATAAACGGATTTAGGATACCTCAGCCATACATGATAAATGAAATAAATACCACCTAAACATCTACCAGAAAACAGTTCAGGAAATAAGATTCCTTGGTTTAAGCACTCTGAGGACCATAGGACCCAGTGTCCTGATTCCACAAAAATGTCATACAATATTTCCAACAAATTCACTGAGTACTATAAAATCCCTACCAAAATAATATCTGTGGACAAACTAACTTGTCTTTCATATGCTCACATCAGGGCTTTTGACCATTCTCTAGCCAAATTGAGTCACCTCATGTGGTTTTCAGAAGCATTACCACCTGTGTGATGTAATATCTAGGCATTATTAAATAAATCAGTTTTTAATAAGTGCTGTTTAAATGGCAAGTGATCCTAATACTAATATACTACTGAATGTTAAAGTTTTGTGCCTTTGGACTGATGAATATCACATATAAATAAAATACCTAAGTGTATTTACCTTTTTATAGAGACAAATGTGAAGAATTAAAAAATGATAAGACATTATCAACATGTAGGCTTTGATAACATTTTTGAGATGGTCAAAGAACAAAAACAGTGAATCAAACCTTTACCAAGTGTGCAATTGTGAAGGAAAAGATATTTACAAAATGTCTAGACTGAATTTTTGCATAATTTTTCTGAAATCTGAAAAGGTACCACTATAGATTTTAGAACTTAATTCTGTGAGAACAGAAATCCTTAATCTGTTAAGTCTCGAATTTCCTTTTCAGTTGACTTCATGCATATGTCCCCTTTGAGACTATATCATCTGGCAGTGATGAGAATATACAGAATGGCTCAGCTGAATTTATCAATGTACAGACTAAAAAACTGAATTACCTAATTTGTTATCAAAAATTAACAATGAGGGCCTCTTCCAGAGAAATTGGTGAATCAGTATATTATTACCATCTTCAGGTTTCCCAGACTTACTTGTCTTCCCCAAGTACCACACCAAATCCAGCATGGGACACTCGAGTTACTTTAGGGTCATACCAACCAATCATCTGAGCAGCAGCAAATATTACTTGGAAGTGCATAGACTATAAAAAGTAGAAAAAGAGTGTTACCTGCTAGTTTTCTAATAATTTTTTTAAAAAAGGGCTTATTAAGGCTTTTATGCCTAGATGATGCCTGTAAAACACAAGTCATTCAAATTTTGTGCCATGTTACGTTTAAAGTGTTTCTTTTACTCATTATGTGAGAAACAGTAAGAGCAAAGCTGTTACCATACTTTCCACAAAGTTTTAAAAGCAAATGAATTAAAGGTCGTTTACACACAGTAACTTCAATTAAATTTCAATGTCAACCACATCCCTATTAAGACCAACTGCTGGGGTTCAAAGATATCACCTTTTCCATTTTTTAGAGAACACTTGGAAAACTGTTCCTTTTCTCACAATATACTGATGTTCCCGATCTTAGCACTGAACAACTGTAAATATTCCCCAAATACTATCAACCTCACCATATTGTCTACCTCCAGACCAACAATGCAAAAATAGACAAATCTACAAACTTACTTGTCCATTGTCTACCACATAGATAACCATATCTGCCTTTTCCTCAACTAGTCTTTGTTTAAGAGCAGCCAGGTCAGACGTATCATAGGTGTAACCTCCATCGGATTTCACTATGGTTAATGGTATGGAGCACCCTGGGACAAACACAATCTTCCTGCCATCATCCACTTGCACAAAGCCTAGGGGAAAAAAACAAACAAATGTCACTAATAATGCTAAAAGAGCTCTGAAGGTACTGGAATCTTGGTCATTTTGAGGACTAGCTAACTAGTCTATGAATATTTTAGAAAATATTTCTTAGCTGCGAAAACCACAAAATTTTTGTCTCATCAG